GTAGCTGTATTAGTGTCTGAGAAGGTAGACTTAAGGAAAAAAGAATTATGGCATATCATAATACATGATTGATTTTCATAATAAGGATAATGTCAGTTCAAGAGGAAGGTGTGACCATTTTATATTCCCCCAATAATTTAGCCTCTAACTATATAAACAGAGAAATCCATTCTCATGGGCATGAAAGATATAATATAAAGTTCTAATTTGTGTCTGGGGTCTAACCTGCATCTATAAAAGGGTTTGTCTTATGATGTGCCCTTCAAAATTAAGTATTCAGAAGCCCAATGACCTGACTGTTCAGCAGGTCTGCTAATGAAGGCCCAAGAGTCCATGGACTTCAGTCAATGTCAGATTGTGTGCTCTCTGGCCAACTGATGTTTAGCTTAACTGCACAGAGTCTCCAATGCTTTGGGCCATTGGCAGTTTACCTCCAAACAGCGGATGGCCACAGCACTCCTCTGGGGGTGCCACAGTGGAACAGGTGAGCTGTTCCACCAGTGAACCATGCTTCAGTGTCAGGTGGCCCTTCTGTTGTCAGGTCCCTTGTGGTTGGTGGTTCGGGAAAGCAGCAGAAGCATACATGTGCTACCGACCATCAATGTGTGCAGTTTGCTCAGGCCTCTGGGTCCAGGCTTAGCCTTCAAGTAGAGGTGCCATTTGCATTTTATGTGGGAGCTTTTTGTACCTATTAGGATTTTGATTCAGGGAAGGCCCCAAAGGGGATGAGAAGGCATAACTTTTCCTCAGGCATTGATAATTGTTATTCACTAGGATTTGATCACACCAACGCAGTAATATGTCACTTACAGTCCTCATAGGTGGAGAAAAACGTTAAGTTAGAAAGTGCAGAGTCCGCTAAAGGGAACTCTTAACTGGCAAAGGCTACAAACAGCTGTAGGATTGATGAGAGATGACTGTAATTTCATGGCCTGAGGAGGATGGAGGACAAAAGCAAGCTTGTTTCAGATTTAACTGAACCACTTCCAAGGCCACCATTCAAATGTAGCTGCATTTCTGGTGACTTCATTCAGAAAACGTGTGAAATGGAAACGCAAGCTGGTGCAGCCACTCTGGAGAACAGGGTGGAGGTTCCTCAAAAAACTCAAAATAGAACTACCCTATGACCCAACAATTGCACTTCTAGGCATTTATCCATGGGATACAGGTATGTCTTTTCGAAGGGACACATGCACCTCCGTGTTTATAGTAGCATTATCAACAATAGCCAAAGTATGGAAAGAGCCCAAATGTCCATTGATGGATGAATGGATAAAGAAGATGTGGTATATATATACATACAATGGAATATTACTCGGCAAAGAAAATGAACTCTTGCCATTTGCAACTACATGGATGGAACTGGAGGGTGTTATGCTAAGTGAAATTAGTCAGAGAAAGACAAAAATCATATGACTTCACTCATATGAGGACTTTAAGAGACAAAACAGATGAACATAAGGGAAGGGAAACAAAACTAATATAAAAACAGGGAGGGGGACAAAACAGAAGAGACTCATAAATATGGAGAACAGAGGGTTACTGGAGGGGTTGTGGTGGGGGGATGGACTAAATGGGTAAGGGGCAGTAAGGAATCTACTCCTGAAATCATTGTTTCACTATATGCTAACTAATTTGGATGTAAATTTAAAATAAATAAATAAATAAATAAATAAATAAATATAAATTTACAAAAAAAGAATAAATGTAAAGTCCTGCACTTTGGTCCCCCCACACAAAGAAAGAAAGAAAGAAAGAAAGAAAGAAAGAAAGAAAGAAAGAAGGAAAGAAAGAAAAGAAAAGAAAGAAAAGAAAAGAGAAGAGAAGAAAACGTGTGAAAATTCTCAGGTATATAATTTGTTGTCTCCAAGTCTAAAGAAGCAATCAGATGGGGGCATCCTTTGTCATTGTGGTTTGTGTAAAGTCAGTGATACCCCTGAGGAGTTTGTGCACCCAGACCCCAGGCCTAATCTTATTTCTGTTTGAGAAAGCTGAAAATGGCCAATCTCTGGTGCCTAGACCCATATTAGTCTCACGAGATCAAAAGATGGCCTATGGCCATCTTCACAGGGTAGAACGCCTGATAATGGCAATTACCATGGCAGAGCAAGTCTTCCCCAGAAGGCAGTTACGAAAACTGGACAAAAGTATGAAAACCAAATATTTGAAGGCACTGAAAAATAAATACAGGCAGGGAAAAACACGAGAAGAACTTTGCTCTTGAATTACTTGGATCCTGAACAAAATGGGTAGGAACTGCAGGCTGTAGCTTTCTTACCTACGGGTTCTCCTAACCCAAGAAGATTAACGACGCCCCAGTGGCTCAAGAAGGTGGGTGATAGGGTCCATGGTGCAGAGTAGTTGGAAGTGTAGAGTGAAAACTATGAAAGTAAGAGAGCAGCAGGAGTGTTGAGATCCCAAATCTGAATGCAAGCTGCAACAAAATCCCTGCTTGGCCACTAAAGTGTTCATGGTGGTGGGACACTCAAGAGACACTGCTTGAAAAAGCAGCAAGAACCAGACTGATCCTGGTGAATTCTGCAAGTCTATACTTTGACTGATGAATTCTTCAGTTAGCACAAAGCTTAGGCAGCAGAAAGCAAAAACCTTACTGGTTTGCGGTATCGATGGTCAGAATTTATGGCCAGCAGTGCATTTGGAAATTTAGGGGAAATACCAAGAACAAGGCAACCACAGAGACAGTGAATGCCAACATGTGAGTAGAAACCGCCCAAATCCTTGGCTCATCAGTAAATTATACAGATGCCAGATAGATCACTCAACATTCGGGATAAAAATGCAACAAGGAGGGGCGCCTGGGTGGCTCGGTCGGTTAAGCGTCCGACTTCGGCTCAAGTCATGATCCCGCGGTCCGTGAGTTCAAGCCCCGCGTCGGGCTCTGTGCTGACAGCTCAGAGCCTGGAGCCTGTTTCAGATTCTGTGTCTCCCTCTCTCTGACCCTCCCCCCGTTCATGCTCTGTCTCTCTCTGTCTCAAAAATAAATAAATGTTAAAAAAAATTAAAAAAAAATGCAACAAGTAGATGCTGGTAAATGGAGCCAACGTACCAGTTGTTGCACACTGCAGGGGTTCACATTTCACAGTGTGGTCCAGGCATGTTAACCACCTTCTAGGGTGGAAAAAAGGCAATCAATCCTCAGAAAAATAAAATGGTTCCAGATTTCCTAAAACACATATCCGATAGCCACTTTTAAATTAAATATTACCACATGCAAAGAAACAGAAGCATGTGCCTATAATGAGAAAGTCAACAGAAATGTATTCCCAGAATGTCCCAATATTGGATTCAGTATTCAAAGACTCCCACACAGCTCTAAGAAATTCAAAGAATTGAATGAAAATATGTTGAAGGAATTAAAGGAAATCTTGGTATTCAAGAGTGAATAGGCAGGAAATCTGAACGAAGAAATGAAAAGTATAAAAAGGACCAAACAAAATTCTCGAACTGAAATAAAATTCAGGGGATGTGCTCAAAAGAAGGTCCTGGGAAGGCAGTGAAGTTGAATAAAAGTCCATAGAAATTACCCAATCCAAAAACACACAGACAAAAAGGAATGAAAAATTAACAAGACCTTGGAAACCCATGGAAGAATACCTAAGAGGCAACAGATGATTGGAGCTCAAAAATGAGAAGAAGGAGGAAAAAGCAGGAAAAAAGATTTGAAGAAATCATGTCTGAAAGGCCCCCAACTTAGCATATAGATCCAAGATGCTCAATATAGCAAAAGAGACAACCAAAGAAGGTTGCCCCAGGCTCATCAATGTATAAACTGGTGGACGCCAAAGATAGGGAAAAAAATCTGGAAAGCAGCAAGAGATAATGACAGCTCACATATAGGGTGTGGTGGTTCACAAACTCTTTAATTCTCCTCCTCTTGAGGGATAAAACTAATTCCTCTTCTCTTGAGAGTGGACTGGACTCAGTGACTCACTTTTTTTTTTTTTTAATTTTTTTTCTTTATTCTTGAAAGAGAGAGAGAGACAGGATGTGAGCAGGGGAGGAGCATAGGGAGAGGGAGACCCAGAATCTGAATCAGGCTCCAGGCTCTGAGCTGTCAGAACAGAGCCCGATGTGGGGTTCAAACTCGCGAACTGCGAGATCATGACCTGAGCTGAAGTCAGATGCTCAACCGACTGAGCCATCCAGGTGCCCCAGTGACTCACTTCTAATGAAGAGAATAAAGTGGATGTGTTGTTGTGTGACTTTAGAGATTAGGCCATAGAGGGCTCTGTGGTCTTTTGGTCTCTCTTCCTCTCTTGTCCTCTCCTTCTCTTTGATTATTTGTTTTGGAAGAAGCAGGTGCCATGTCCTAAAGATGCTCACATGTGTTGATGCCCATGAAGTAGAGGGCAGGGGCTTCCAATCAGGGGCCAACAACAAACCAAAGCCTTTGGCCAAAGGTCCCTTGCGTGAACTTGAACGTACATCCTCCAATCCCAGTCAAGCCTTCACATTATTACCGGTCCAGCCAACATATTGATAGTAACCTAATGAGAAACCTTTAGCCAGAAACTGCCCAGCTAGTCTGCTCTGACAATTTGGACTCTCAGAAAAGTATTGAGATAATAAATGTTTGCTGTTTTAAGCTGCATTTTTAAAAATAATGCTGTTACACAGCAATAATAACGATTACAGGATCTGGTATCTGGAAATAGGGTGCTATCATAACAAAAATCTTAAATGAGGTGTTAGTTTTGGAGTCAGGCAGTGGGTAGAAGCTGGACTTTGAAATGAGTTTTTAAAAGCACAGATTTACGTAAATATTCCAAATTTTCGTAAAAGGTGCAAAGACAGTATAAAATGAAAGGAGTCTGAGGGGCGCCTGGGTGGCTCAGTTGGTTGAGCGCCTGACTTCAGCTCAGGTCATGATCTCACAGTTTGTGGCTTCGAGCCCCACATCAGGCTCTGTGCTGACAGCTCAGAGCCTGGAGCCTGCTTCAAATTCTGTGTCTCCCTCTCTCTCTGCCCCTCCACTGCTTACACTCTTTCTCTCTCAAAAATAAACATTAAAAAAATAAAATAATTTTGAATGAAAGGAGTCTATAGAGTCCTAAAATTCTTTGTTTTTTTTTTTTTTAATTTATTTTATTTATTTATTTGGGCGGGGGGAGAGAGAATCTCAAGAAGGCTTTACTGTCAGTGCAGAGTCTGATGTGGGGCTCGATCCCATGACTGTGAGATCATGACCTGAGCCAAAATCAAGAGTCAGAGGCTTAACTGACTGAGCCCCCCCCCCCCCCAGGTGCCCCTAAAGTTCTTTTGTGACTGGAGACTCAGGGCAGGGTAGGGAACATGAATACGGTTATGGGATGGACATAGGATAACCACTGTAGACCTTTGAAAAGAAAGTTCTGCACCTGCTAACACAGGCTACCCTTCATGGAAAAAGATGGGCCACTAAAAGCGCAAAACTAAGGTCCCAAGTGTGTAGCCAAGAGCCTCTGGTCCTGGGCTGGGGGATGTCTAGGCTTTTCATTGCCCAGTCTCCTCCCTGCCCTCCCACAGGATGTTTTCTTCCTACAGGAGAAAAAGACGGGAGCTGTTCTTGGGCTACAAGTGAGTTACGGGAGGTTGATCCCTGAGACCCCTGGTCCCATGGGGGCAGCTGGCCCACCCCATGATTCCTCCTTTAGTTACAGCTCTGGGCTTTGGCCACACCTTGATGTTGTTCTGTTCCCGGGCAGTGACAGCGCCTACGGCTTGGAGGGCCTGGAGTGGGGGAGTGGTTGGGACGGGGTGGGTCGGGGGGACACAAAGGGGTTATGGAGATTCTTTCAGTAGAACATTTTAAGCACGTAATGAACTGTTGAGAAGGTCAGCGCTTATCTGACTGACCTGAATTTGTTCATGATTATTTTCTACAACCTGAGACAGCTGCCTTGCGTTGGACTGGTGACAAAAAAAATTTGTTCATACTCCCACTATGTGACTTCGAGATCCCCTGACTTCTCTTTCTGCAACTGGCATCTGAACATGCCTATGTTCCTATTAGCGTGATGTGAGGAGGTGGGGAGACTGGCCCACCTCTGCCCGCTAGGACACCCTCCCCACCACGATCTCCGTGTTTCTTCCCTGATCAAGTTTCCGGTTCCAGCAGAGGCGGGGCTGAGCTGTCTCTATCCCTGTCTGTACTTCATGTTGCTCTGAGTAGTAACATCTTTCTTCCCTATTAAAAATAAAAATCTGGATATGAATTTCTTTTTTCTACTTCTTGTCATGTGGGGTTGATGGGTTAATAAAGGAGAAGATTCCTAAAGTTTGAGACAGGAAATAGGTAGAGGCACTGAGAACCTTTCAGAATCTGTAGGTTTGCTGTGCTGAGTCTGTTGCGGGGCGGTGGGGTGCAGGGGAGTAGAGGAGAGGGCTGTGAGGAGCCTAGTATGGATGAGGCCTGTGCCTGGGCAGTGCTCAGTGCAGTGTGGGCTTTCACATGGTCACTCCTCAGCTGGGTCATCTTCTCTGCTCCTTTGTCTTTGTCCCTTTAGTAGAACATTGTCTCACTAGGACCTTTGATCACAGAGACTTGGATATCATGGGGACCTTGTCCTGTTTCCAGGACCATCAGCAGCAAGGGCTTCGTGTAGCTGGATCAGCCTAGGTTCGGACCTGGGTGCAGCCCTCAACCCCCATCTTTTGCGTGTTTATATTTTGCTTCTGTGGGTTCTTCTAGATGATGCCTGTTCTTCTCTGGTCTCATTTTCCTCCGGGCTTCCCCGATCTGTGACAGCAGAAGGAGTCAATTCTGCCTGTCATTGTCCCTACCAGTCCCAGTCACAGGCACCTATAGCATTGAGAGATTAATTTTCAAACTCATCCAGCTCTTGCCCTTCCTTCTAGGCCTGTTTCCTGGATTATTCTTTCCATCTTTGCCAATCTTTTTGAAAGAGACCGATTCTGGAATTAGTAGAGAGGAGGGATCCGATAGTTGTTCCTCTTAATTAAATTCCTGTTGGCTTTCCGCCTTCTCTTCAGCTTGCCCCCTTCCTCTGCACCTTAGCTCCAGGAATCCAAGTGGTGGCTCTGATGGAAACTCATGGATTCATAAAATAGAGTCTACTTTAGATCCACAGTTGGGTAAAAAAACAGGACTCATAAGACGAGGATCATCTTATCTGAAGAGAGAGATATCATTGTGTGCGGGGCAGGAAGTTGGTGTGGAGGGAGGAGTTGAACAGACGGAGGGGGAGCAGCACTGTGAGAAAAGCACAGGTGGCGTTGATGGCAAGGTGAGCAGATGTGAACTGTAGCTGCCACAAAGCAGCATTTGGCCTAAGGTCGCATTAATAAAGATACCATCTCTAGAATAGGGAGGTGCTCTACACTGATTATTCATTCAACCGGTATTTGTTGCATGGCAGATATATGATACAGTATTTTTGCATCTAGGAAATCCCAGTGAAAAAAACCAGGTAGACATCACCAGCCTTGTGGAGCAGATGTTATATCACTGAGGGGCAAACTATATACTATAAGCATAGTAAGTAAGGAAAGGGTATACGTTAGCAGTTGGTCATTGCTTTGAGGAAGGTGATCCAGAGTAGAAATGAGGGTGGGCTGGGGAGGAAGATGGCTGTTTTACTAGGATCTTCAGTATGGGCTTCATTGAGAAGGTGACTTTGAGTAAAGATTTAAAAGCCGTGAATTGTCCAAGAGGAGATCTAGGCAAGTTCTTTCCAGGCAGGGAGAGCCTCCGGTGCAAATGCATGGGCAGGAGCGTGTCTGTGTTCAAGGAAGAGCGAGGAGGCCGGTGTGGCTGGAGCAGAGTGTAATTGAAATGAGGTCACGTGTCTGGCTAGCTCACGTAGGTCTCAGCGATATTGCGAAGGCTTTGGCTTTTCTAAAGTGAGACGTGGAGTTACAAGATGGTTTTGAACAGAAGACAGACCTGGTGCGACATCTCTTTAGAAGCAGAAGTTCCCTCTTCCACTAAAAACAATTGATAAAATATTTAAAAAATCTAAAAGTATAGTAGAATAATCAAGAGAATAATCATTTACCCCAACAATATAAATGTAGGAAATAATCCAGAGAAAAAAGTTGGTTTTATCCTTAGGGCATTTGCCACATCTGGAAAAATCTTAGTTTTGGCTTTCTCAGCCTCATGAGTTGTAATAATAGGAAATGATGCCAAGAGCTTATTCATGTGGGGAGCATATGAGATATCCCCTCCCTGAAAATCTGGGAAACCAAGATTCATATCCTCAGAGTCAGGGTGAAACAAAACAAAATCTGCTCTATCCTTTAATACAAGAGTATTCTGAGGAAATTTGCATTGGACACAGCAAAAAAAGGATCAAACAGCTGTTTTGGGGAATTTGCAATCGTGAGCTAACCCTTCTGTCATTTGCAGTCTAAATTTGCTCTACCATTTGGGGCCAAAATAACCTCAAGCCATGATTTCTCTTTACAGTGGCCCTGAATTTGTGATGACCCAAACATTGAAAAAGCAAAACAAAAATCTCCAAAGAAATCTATATTTAACCTAGGTGTCAGAGAATTTACACAAATAATTGCACAATGAAAAAGAGCAGCTTACAGCAAGAAATGAATAAGTACAATTGAAAACAAAATATGATTGAAAATCAGTAGAAAGAATACATAGTAAAAAGAAGCTCTTAAAAATTCCACATTGAAATGATGAGGCATAGAACATAACCAAACTTTTATATAAATATATAATATAAACATACATGATATATGATAAAAAGAAAAAAAATTAAAAATGCCTGTAGAAAAAAATGACAAAAGAACTAAGAAAAGAACTCAAAAACCTAGTGAAAAATCACTGAGTAATTAAAAAATTATAGTAGAAAACATCCACTTAATAAAAAGGAATCAGTAAAAGAGGAAGAAAAGTACATGAGAGACCTGAGAGACATAGAACACAAAGAGTAAAATGCCTCATAAATCCAACATCTCAGTATTCACATTAAATGTAAATGGATTAAACAAGTCAATCAAAGTGCAGATTGTTCCGATGAAAGCCAAAAAGGAACCAACTATGTGTCTATAGCAGAGCACACTTGACATTTAATTACAAATAGATTAACATTAAAGGGATGGGAGGGGCTCCTGGGTGGCTCAGTCAGTTAAGCAGCCGACTTCAGCTCAGGTCGTGATCTCGCGATCTGTGGGTTCGAGCCCCACATTGGGCTCTGTGCTGACAGCTCAGAGCCTGGAGCCTGTTTCAGTTCTGTGTCTCCCTCTCTCTCTCTGCACCTCCCCTACTTGCACTCTGTCTCTCTCTGTCTCTCAAAAATGAATAGACATTAAAAAATTTAAAGGGATGGGAAAAGATATCCCAGGCAAACAGCAACTGTAAAGAAAGCTGGAGAGCCTACGCTAATATTGAACAAAGGAGACTTAAAAAAAATACGAGTGGAGATAACAGGGACGTTTTACAATGATAAAAGGGTTAATCCCTCAGAAAAATAAAACAGTTATAAACATGTATGCACCTAATAACCAAGCAAACTGACAGAACCTAAGAGAGAAATTGACAGTACAACAATAATAGTTGGAGACTGCAACATACCATTTTCAATAACGGATAAGACAACTATGCCCAAGAACAACAACAAAAAGAGAAGACTGGAACAATATTGTGAACCAACAGGACAAACCAAAAGACATTTATGGAACACTTCTCCCAGTAATAGCAACATATACATCCTTCTCAAACGCACATGGAACGATCTTCAGGATAAACCATTGTCAGGCCACAAACCTCTATACATTTAAAAGGGTGCAAATAATACAAAATATGTTCTCTTATCACAGTGGCATAGAATTAGAAATTTATCAGTAACTGGGGCACCTGGGTGGCTCAGTTGGTTAAGCGTCTGACTTTGGTTCAGGTCATGATCTCATGGTTCGTGGGTTTGAGCCCCGCATCAGGCTCTGTGCTGACAGCTCAGAGCCTGGACCCTGCTTTGGATTCTATGTCTCCCTCTCTCTCTCTGCTCCTCCCCCAACGCACGCTCTGTCTCTCTCTCTCAAAAATAAATAAACATTAAGAGAAATTTTTTTAATTAAAAAAAGAAATTTATCAGTAACTGAGAAATTTGAGAAAAATCACAAATATGTGGAAATTAAACAATGCACTTCTACGTAGCCAGGATCAAAGCAGATACCGAAAGAAAATTAGAAGATACTTTGAGATACATGAAAATGAAAACACAATATATCAAAATTTATGAGATGCTGCTAAAGCAGTGCTTAGAAGGAAATTTATAGCTGTAAATGCATGCATTAAAAAAAATCTCAAAACAATGACCTAAACTTCTACCTTACATCAAAGGAAAAAGAGAATCAAACTAAACCAAAAGTAAGCAGAATGAAGGAAAAAGCAAAGAATAGAAGGGAAATTAATGAAATAAAGGGAAGAGAATAGAGAAACAATATGTAAAGTCAACTAAATCAAATTTGGTCCTCTGAAAGATCAATACACCTGACAGATCTTCACCTAGACTCACAAAAATAAAGAGGGGGGTGGTGAGAGGAGGGAAGGAAGGAAGGAAGGAAGGAAGGAAGGAAAAGAAAAGAAAGAAAGAAAGAAAGAAAGAAAGAAAGAAAGAAAGAAAAAGAAAGAAAAGAAAGAAAGAAAGAAAGAAAGAAAGAAAGAAAGAAAGAATAAAGAAAGAATAAAGAAAGAAAGAAAGAAAGAAAGAAAGAGAAAGAAAGAAAAGAAAGAAAGAAAGAAAGAAGAAAGAAAGAAAGAAAGAAAGAAAGAAAGAAAGAAAGAAAGAAAGAAAGAAAAGAAAAGAACTTAAATTACCAGGATCAGCCATGAAAGAAGGGATATTATGACTGACCACATAGAAATAAAGAGATTTATAAAAGAATACTATGAACAATTATATGCCAAGAAATTAGATCACTTAGATAAAATAGACAAGTTCATAGAAAGACAAACTACTAAAGCTGACTCAAGAAGACATAGACAATATGAATATGTCTATAACAAGTTTAAAGATTCAATCAATCAGTAATCAACCTACCCCCACCCAAAAAAAAGTCCTGGGAGCAAAACGCTTCACTGATGGACTCTACCAAATTGTTAAAGAAGAATTAATAATGATTATTTACAAATTATTCTGAAAAGGAGAGGAGGGTATGCTACTCAACTCATTCTAGAAGGTCAGTGTTATTCAGACACCAAAACCAGGCAAAGATATCACAATTATAAGACTGCAAGTCAATATCTCTTATGAATAAGGATACAGAAATTCTCAACAAAAAATAGCAAATTCAATCCAGCAACATATAAAAAGAATTATTCCTAAGATCAGCAATAAGACATAGTCACTTCATATAAAGCCTGGTTAAACATTCTAATTTTCATAATCTTATTGGTCCTTACATTTTTATATTCTCTCAAACTAATCGTAGCCAGAGTCACGGCCTCACCAGCGGGTTTTGTTACCACCGTCTCTGGAACTTCTGAATGAAAGAGTCCTGAGACTCCTACCATTTTACCTACTTTTTTTCTTTTAATCTTTTTTTTTTTTTAATTTATTTTGAGAGAGGGAGTGCACATGCAGGGGAGGGGCAGAGAGAGAGAGGGAGAGAGAGAATCCCAAGCAGGCTCCATGCTGTCAGTGCAGAGCCTGACGTGGGGCTCAATGAACCGTGAGATCATGACCTGAGCTGAAACCAAGAATCAGAAGCTTAACTGACTGGGCCACCCAGGCGCCACCCCCGCCATTTTATCCACTCTTGTGCAAAAGGCTGTGGGTCCCCCAGGAAGGAGTTGAGCCAAGGCAGGCCCTTTGGTGACTCTTTAACTTGATTAACGCACCTAACTATTGCCCGTGGGGGGATTGCTGGTCAGGTTTCTCATTGTAATCCCTGCCTTCTAACTTCCTGAGTTTCCCCAAAGGGTGAATAGAGTGGACTTATTTGGGGTCCTTTAATGTTGGGAGAGCAGTAGGGAGTCCCGATGGCTCACCCAACATTAGGTAGTGCTGTATTAAACTATTTTAACCCCATCAACATCCATTTTATTCGTCCCATTTTTAAATAAACATCTAAGATTTTCACCCTGGGGAGAGGAGATGAATCTCATGATCTACCCCTTTCAGTTTCCTCTTTGTTTCACTACTATCAATACTCACTTTATTCACCTTTCTTTTTTTTTTTTTTTCAAGTTTACTTATTATTTTGAGAGAGAAAGAGAGGGTGGGGGAGCATCAGAGAGAGAAGAGAGAGCGGGAATCCCAAGCAGGTCCCTCATTGTTAGCATGGAGCCCGCCTCAGGGACGGATCCCACAACCCTGGGATCATGACCTGAGCCAAAAACAAGAGTCGGAAGTATAACTGACTGAGTCACCCAGGCTCCCCAGTCACCTTATTTCTTAATAGCTTTTTTAAAATGTCCACCCACTAGGCAAGGAGAGAGTGGCCTGGGTCACAGTGGAGCTTAGTCATTGAGGGGGACTCAGCAGAAGGGTGGCTGAGCCTCTAACAATGCACCCCAGTTCCAACAGGGCTGCTCTGCTCTAATCTGTTTCACATATTGGGGTCCCACATAAAGCTTTAAAAACTAGATTCTCCTCCTTAGAAAAACAGGTGTGAAAGCCATTCAGATAGTCTTTTCCCTTAATTTGGGCAAGAAACTACCTAAAGAATCCTATAAAGAAGCTTAAAGATTTAGAATGGCAATATTCCATCTCCCTGCAGTGCACGGTGAAAATAAGTGAACTTGGAGTCCCAGAGAATCAACCCAGGCTCTGTATGATGAGATCTGTGCCCTTAACCAACTAAGTCAGCTCCTGGCTATCTGTAAAATGGGGATCCTAAAAGTTAACTCACAGGGAGTGTTGTGATTTCTAAAATGGGATAACATATGTGAGAAAGCATCCAGCTTAGATGGCCACATAGCAGGTTCAGGAAAGTTCACCTTCTCTTTGCTTCTTTTCCCCCTCAGGGCAACCCTACGTACTCTCCTTGTGAAAGGAACTTCTTTCCTATTCTATGGTGCAAAACCTGTTTTCTCTTTGGGCCCCAGCAAAGATAAAAGATGCTGGATATCATTCTGAACAATGAGCCCTCATGTGTTACAGTAAACCATTTTATTTATCTCCTTACTTGTATACTTTCTGTTCCCTCCATGTGGTTCCACCAGGAGAACTTAAACTTTGTATGCTTGATACTTTATCCCCAGGAACTAATCTGGTCCCAGTGTTTGGGAAAATTATTTGTTGGATGATTGGAGATGCTTGAAGACCATGAGAACATGCCCCTTAACTTTTTGTTCTCTGGTTAGTATTGTCCCATTGCTTCACATGTTTCCATAAAGAACTTTTATTCCAACTCTTTAATCATGTTTCCCAAATGGTTCAGCAGTTCTGGTGATTATGATAGCAGAATACTAAAGTAAGAAAATCATTTAACTCTCATACATTATGACACACAGAAACTTGCATCTTGCTTGCTGAGTGCACCTTGCTCACTGCCTAGCGTCTACACCCTGTCCTGGTATACTTAATAAATAAAGCAAGATTTTATAGCCACGATCCCAAGAGAATGCAAGTGGAATTTCAAAAGGAATGGCAGGGTTGCCAAAGCTGATGTCTAAATAATTGTGGTTTATTGTATGTGCTACATGCTTCTATAATTACTAGGCCATAAACGACCTTGGTAAATCTTTAAAGAAGAAATAGAGGATGACTAATTTCCAAACGTGATATATAATAGTTTCAATTATTTTACTGTGAAATAAGGAAAAAAAGGTTGAACATTATTAGTCATTCTAAAGAACTGTTAGTAAATAAAGTGCTTTCAAATTGAATGAGGCTGGCGTCATAAGTAAAGACATGCATTTCATTTTTTAAGGCGAGCTTATCTGTTAAGACTGGTGGAAAGAATAGATGTAATATGGAAAAGTATAAAAAGAAAGAAGCAAATGGATTTTTTATTGAAAATTTTTAAAATGGCATCTAAGGGGTTCCTGGGTAGCTCAGGCAGTTAAGCATCCAACTCTTGATTTTGGCTCAGGTTATGATCCTAGGGTCATGGGATTGAGCCCCAGATCGAGCTCTGCAATGAGTGTGGAGTCTGCTTGAGATTCTCTCTCTCTCTCTGCTCCTCCCATACTCACGCACACACGCTGTCTCTCTCTCTCTCAAAATAAATAAACCTTTTTTTTAAATCGTATCTGAATTCTTAAGGATGCTTTGTTCAATTCTACATGGAGCACGATAAATAGAGGCTCATTTAAAAGTGGAACTCAGAAAATAGTGCAGGCAAAATGTTTATGCCCTGAAAACTCAAATAGATACGTGGCTAAGTAGAAATAAAGTGGAACTCTGTAGTCAGTCTCACTGATTTGCTTTACAGATTGAGAATTAGAGAGCAAAGCTGCCTGTACTGCTAGGAATTCATGACCTTAATATCATATCAATATGTCCTTCTCAGTAAATGAATAACAAGATTTGCCTGATTATTTGTGTGCGATTGTCTACTAAGTGTCCTGCCCCAAACAGTATTGATTTAAAGCCAAGAATGGTGCCAATCAAAGTTGGCACATCAGCCATGTTAGTCTCCTGTGTAAGAATATCTTGAATCATTTTCTTTCCAGTACCTTAAGTAAAAGAACAGTATCATCAGACATTTAAACAAGAAGAAGAAGAAGAAGAATGTAGTGGTAGTAACTAAGTCAACAACAAAATAATTTCTTCTTATTCTTTAGGACATAAAAACCTGAGAGATGATGGTTAAGTGGCACATTTCAAGGGACAAACTTAAATAACCAACCTCTTACCATATGATCCAGAAATTGAGCTCCTTAGTATTTACCCACAGAAGTTGAAAACATATCCACACAGAAATCTGCACGCAGATTTATCTCATCTTTACTCATATTCATAACTGCCAAAACTTGGAAGCAACCAAGACGTCCTTTGGTAGGTGAACGGATAGAGAAACCATGGTGTATGTAGGCAATGGAATATTATTCAGTTTGAAAAAGAAATGGGCTATCAAGCCATGAAAAGACATGGAAGAATCTTAAATGCACATTATAAAGTGAAAAAAGCCAATCTCAAAAGGCTAATATGTATGATTCTGACCATATGATATCGTAGAAGGCAAAACTATGGAGACAGTAAAAAGATCAATGGTGGCTAGGGGTCAGAGGGGTGGGAGGGATGAATAGGGGAAACACAGAGGATTTCTAAGACAGTGAAATTACTCTATGAAACTTATGATGGTGGATCCATGTCATTATACGTTTGTCCAAACCCATAAAATGTACAACACCAAAAGTGAACCCCAATGTAAACTACAGACTTTGGGTGATTATGATGTATCAGTGTAGGTTCATCAGTTGTAGCAAATGTATCACTCTGGTAGGGGATGTTGACAATGAGGGAGGCCATGCATGTGTAGGGTAGGGGACATATGGGAAATCTCTGTGCCTTCCTCTCAATTTTGCTGTGACTCTAAAACTGCTCTAAAATATAAAGTTTCTTCAACACACACACACACACACACACACACACACACACACAGAACTTGTATAGAGAATATACAAAGATTTAATGGAATGCATTTCAGCAATAAAAAGGAACTACTGACACATGGCAATAATATTGAAGTGTCTCAAATGCATTATGTTAAGCAAAAGAAGCCAGATTGAAAGGCTACATAGTGCTCAGTTTCATTTATAACATTTTAGAAAAAGCAAAAGACAGCAATAGAAAACAGACCAGTGGTTGTCGAGGCCTGGGGGTGGTGGGAGAAACTGTATCCAAAGAGCCCTTGAGGCAAATTTGGGGAACGATGGAAATTGACCACAAGAGTTGGTTCCTAGATGCTGGACGGGCATCAGCAGTGCTGCACCATCAGAATCACTGGAGTGAATTACTTAAACTCACTACATTTCATTTAGGCTTCAAACATGCAAATGAATATGGGGAAATGAACACCTAAGACTGCTCTCTGCTCAGAAATATGTAAAATGAGCAAGCAATTGCCAAGGCCATATCTCCTCTTTGGGATTTATTCTGGGCAAACTAAACCAAAGTCTTTGATGGTTCCCCTCACTTTTTGGAGACAATCCAAAATTTTTAGCTTCATTGACAAGGCTTTTCACGATCAGATCCTGATTTGCTCTCCAGAATGATCTCTTGCCCCACTCACCTCACTCCTGCCCCAGCACACCCCGTCTTCTGTCCAGAATTACATGCAGTTTCTTTAACCTACCATATTCTCCCATACTTATGGGCTTTTGCCTATGCTAATTTCTCCTAAATACATACTGCTAACTTCTTCAAACTTAAAGACTCCCTCAGACATCTCCAAATTCAGGGACACTTTCCCTGTTCTCCGCTCATCCTCTCGACACCCAAACTGAATGAGACATGTCTCATCTGTACTCCCATTTTGCTCCATACATTCCTGTGCCCTGACTCTAATCAAGCCACTGGAAAATTGTTGCTTCATTTGTCTGTGTCTGTTTCTAGACTGTGATCTCCTTGAGGACAGGGACCACATTTTTCACTTCTGTGTCTAGAGTCTGGCATGAAAGCTATTATGTGAATCAATGTATCGATTAAATGAATGGCTGAGTGGATTCCTGGATGGATGAATAATGACTGGATACATAGATAAAGGCTATAAAATAAATATGTAAAAATCATTCTGGGAACTGTAAACATACGTTTCTGTATTTCTTGTTCATCAATAAATCTGATTCACTGATTTTGGATTTCTAGTTATCTCACCACCACTCCCGGTTTTCAGATATGAGATGCATGCAAATTAAGTCCGAGTATAATAGCTGTAGAAAATAATACATCCCAGGGTGGAGGGGACTCGCATATTTTAGCTTCGCTTGGCTGTGGTCATCTACATGGCAGCCCCACTCAGGAAATACTAGTCTATCAACATGACCAGGCAAATCAAAGTTACTATGTACTGCTCTAATTTGATCATGGTTCTATAGGCCCAGATAAATCTCAAATATAACATCAAGTAACTGAAATGGAATTGTAAATCTTCCTCCTCTGCATTGAGGAAATGGAGAAGTGGCAGGAATGGGCAGATGAGGACGCTATGCTTTACTTAGATAATTACTGGGGACAGAGCGCTAGGTTTAAGATGAATGAAACAAAATGAATAAATTAAATAATTAACTATGCATGAGGGAGCAACCTAAAAATTAAAAAGTACTTTAAAAATGCACTTTTGGCATAACAATGCTTTCTTCCAGATATCTCTTGAACTTAGTAAGTTGGTACAATATACAATTCAAATAATATAAATGGTAACTACAAACATACATATAATAAGGTAACAAAAGAAAAGCAACTGACTGTCAGACTGTTGGTATTAAAATAGCATTGAAGGTCAGTGTCACAACTTTGAGGTCTGTTAATTGGAACAGCTATCGTCCAAATTTGATCATAGCTTCCAGTTATTGCATTTTATCTATAGTTTAAATAATATGAACCCATTAATAATAGAAATGTAATTCTGGAAGAAAGATGCCCTTAGATATGAACATAATTCCAGAGTTGTGGCACTATAACAAACAGCTGATATTTAAGAGAAGATAGATAACATTCTAGTGCTCCGGTGTAGAGAAGCCATGAAAGAAATCCATAAATCCATACTACATCAATGACACTTGAGATCAAAATGCTGTAGGTAGTTGCCAAATCCTTTTGCAAAGCTTTTTTTTTTTTTTAGCTTTATTCAATTTTCCAGAGTCAATCCAAGAGAGCATTTCCAGAATATGGTGAACTCTCAATCCCTAAACTTCTTGTTCTCTAAAATCAAAGAAATAGTCAAAGCCTCCAGTGGGCAGCTCAGCAACATCTCCCTGGCCCCCCAACACACACACCCCTCTTCTTTCCATTCAATCACAGCCAAAAGGATTTTGTCCTAGCTTGAATTGGGGAATCCACCACAGATGGCATAAACCTTCAGTCAACAACACATGAGCAGGGAGGCTGTCCTCCAAAGTTACGGTACCACATTTTTAAAATCCAAAATTAGGAAACAGGGATAAATAGTCATGCATTACAAAATATTGTAAATTGGGGGGCCTGAGAAAATCCGGAGCCATGGCTACGATAAGTCAGGAGCTGAAATCAAGCTACATTCAGCTACACACTGCTCATGAGTCAGCATTATTTCTTCCTGTGGCCAGTATTTGCTGTCATTCCATCGTTGAGAATGCAGAGAACTTAGAAACCTAGGGTCATGATGAGGAACGTGGCACCAGAGGGACCACGAGAAGAGCACTTGTGTTTTCCAGCCTCTCCTGCCCCAGCCCGGCTCAGAAGACGTGGAATCTTCTCTACCTCTTACCAACCTCATCCCTCTAGGGACTGGACCCCATTTCCTGTCCTCCTACCAGGTGATCCTGCTTTAAACCACATGGACTAGGGGCGCCTGGGTGGCGCAGTCGGTTAAGCGTCCAACTTCAGCCAGGTCACGATCTTGCGGTCCGTGAGTTCGAGCCCCGCGTCAGGCTCTGGGCTGACAGCTCAGAGCCTGGAGCCTGTTTCTGATTCTGTGTCTCCCTCTCTCTCTGCCCCTCCCCCGTTCATGCTCTGTCTCTCTCTGTCCCAAAAATAAATAAACGTTGAAAAAAAAAATTTTTTTTTTAAATAAATAAATAAATAAACCACATGGACTGACCATCAGAAATGGCAAGGTTGCTGCTACCCGTTTGGCCCCTAGTCACGTCCACCTGGAGACTCTTGTGCTTGGTCCAGAAGATCGCAGCTGCTGTCAGCTTGACACCAGCCCTTACCATGAGGTCTTCGGGCTCTTGTAGAATCCATGGCAAGGGGTGCTGGCAACCATCCAAAGGCATTGCCTCCAGTGAGTTGGCTGACCTCACCTAACCCCTTCCCAGTTGTGGCTGCTACTTCTTTCTGATGTCCAGGCATTCAAGTCCCAGCAAGATTCTTGGTAAGCCAGTGCTAAATATGTGTCCCCATATTTTACAAATGAGCAAACGCAAACGGAGAGTAGTTAAGAAGATTGCCCATATCGGTAGCCGAAGACTAGTGAAACTTAAGTAAACTAGGACACAGGGACATTCATCACAGTTACTGCAAAACTCAGACTTAATGAAAAGCACAATTCTATAATGAAACAAAGATTTGGAACCAAATGGACATATAGTAGAATCCTGGCTCAGATATTATCTGCATAATTGTGCATGATTAACCTGTTTGATACCCAGATTTCTTATCTCTAAAGTAGAGATAATGACTGTATACGTTATCTTTTGTTGCATAACGAATACCTCCAAACCCTAAGACAACAAACATGTATTATCTCAAATTTTGTGGGTCAGGAATGCAGGCGTGGTTCACCTGGGGGCCTCTGATTTAAGGTCTCTCATGAGGTTGCAGTGAAGATGGTTGCCAGGCCTGGCGTCTCATCTTGGGGAGAATTGGTCCCAATCTCACTCGTGTGGTTGGCAGGACTCAGTTCCTCTTGAGCTGTTGGACTGAAGGTCACTCACTGGAGTTGCCCGGAAGGCCTTCCTCAGTGTCTTGCCACACAGCAGCTCCCATCATGTCCGTTGACTTCTGTCAGAGCTAGCAAGCTAGAAAGCAAGAAGGAGCCCGCAAGACAGAAAACCAAACTTTTAATAGCCTAATCTCAAGGTTTCAGCCCCTCTCTTCGCCATATTCTTTAGGAAAGAATCCCTAAATCCAGACCA